TCCTGAGAGTGGTGTCTATTTCTTCGTGTGTCCCCTCTTTGGCCGTCTTACAGGTCGACGTTGTCTTATTCGTTGCTTTGCCGATGGGCGCGGGCGCCCGCAACCCCCCCATGGAGTAGATCTTGGCTGTTTTTGGCGCCTGTTTCGAGCAGGTGGAGTCCTCCCCCGTAGGACGCAGTGTTGCAAGAAGTCGTACTAATCAGAGGTCCGGAGCCAGACACCCCTCCACCCCCCTTCCGCCCAATGTCGAAACGCTGAAAAAGAAAACGTTCACCAGTCGGACCGAGCTATAAGATCGAGGTCGGCTCGAGGAGTTTTCTTATGTGGCACTTCCCGCAATGAAGATCATTCTTTTTCTGCGCCCATGAACAAGGAACTTGGCAGGAGGGTTTACTGCAACATCGTTGGTGCGTCTTGGGTTTACACTGGTCCTCCTCCTCCTCCTCCTCCTCCTCCTCCTCCTCCTCCTCCTCCCTCCTCCTCCCCCTCCTCCCTCATTTCCTACTTTCTCCTCCCCACCCAGGTGCTCCCTCAAGGGGTTCGGCAGCGGCTGGGGGAATCTGGTCCAACAGTTCGGCCAGGCTTCGGCACACAACGTTTGGCCGCATGGGCGTCTACAAAAGGCAGGGGCGGCGATGACTCGCCGTCGGCGTCGTCGATCAGCATAACGTCCACCTCCCAGACGGCCAAGGCTGCCCAAGATAACCTGCAAGACGGCTCAATATTGCCCAGAGCTGTCCAGGATTGGTCTATTGGGTCGTCTTGAGGTCCTCTTTGGACCGTGTCGGGCCGTCTCGGGCCGGTTTGTGGGGCTTTGGGGTCGTCTTGGACGCTCCGAAGATTGAACATGGGAGCAACCGGAAATCATAGTAGAAAATGGGTTGTGCTTCAATACGTAGATTGCTGACCCCGAAGACCCCCAAGGCAACCCAGGACGCACCCCCAAGAGCGTCTTGGACCCTCTTGGGGCCATCTCGGCCGTCTTGCACAGTATTGGAAGCCACCCGTAATGGAAGCCTTTTTGGAACGTCTGGGGCGTTCTAGGTGCCATCTTGCATTTTGGAGGCGGACATTGTGCAGATTCTGGTTGCAGGCCTATTTTGCAGGGGCGGGCGCATCGGGCCAGAGCCCACTCCTCCTCCTCCTCCTCCTCCTCCTCCTCCTCCTCCTCCTCCTCCTCATCCTTCCTTCTCCTCCCACCGACAGGTGGTCCGAAATTTGCCAGGGCCTAGCAAATCCCATGAAGTCCAACACGGTAAGGCCACTCCACAGACCACGGGGGCCGTGGAGGATCGAAGGCGCCGCCTACGGCGAGGCACCGCCGCCCCCACGCCCTTCTTGAACGGTGTCGATGTGTCAAAACGTTAGGTCGAAGCTGGGCCAAGCTATTGAATTAATTATGCGTTTCCCAAGCCGTTGTGGAAACTCTTGGGGGAACGCGTGGGGAGGGAAGGCAGTGGTCAGTGGATGAGGAAGGGATGCAAAGGAGGAGGAGGAGGAGGAATAGAGGCCCTCCTGATGCCTCATGGAGGCTTCCTGGGAGCATTTTGGGGGCCTCAGGTGTGCCTCTTGGGGGCCTCTTGGAGCCTCTTAGGGGCCCCTGGCCGGGGCGGAGATGATTGGCCTCTTGGAGCCCTCTTGGGGCATCTTGGGGGCCTCTTGGGCCGCCGTAATCAATCTTGGGCCGTCTTGAAACAACATTGGCCCGTCTTGGGCCATATTGCAGCCGTCCCGGCTTTCTTGGAGGACAAGCTGAACCGTGATGTAGGCCATCCTTGCTTTCTTGGGGACATTCTGGCACCTTCCTGGGCGGAAAAAACAGTTGGGACACATATTTTCTGGTGTGCTGACGGGTTGTGCCAAGACCACCGGGATCTTTTCGGACGTGTTCAAACGGTAAAATTTGGCACACCGGCAAATTTCTTGCAAGCAACAGGGGGCGGCGGATCTAGTGGCCCCGTCGGCCCATACCGCCACAGTGCCTGGGTTGTTGGCCAGAGGCTTCTGGGATGCCTGTTAGGGTCACCTGGGACGTTTCGGGGGCCTCTTGGAGGCCTCTTGGGGCCTCCTGTGTTCGCCTTGGGCGCTTCGAAGGGCCTCTTGGAGACCTTGGGGACCTGAAGACGCTTTCGGGGCTAAGCTTAGAATTGAAGGCTCTAAATGTCAGTTCTGTTCCCCCCTCTTGGGTCCGTATTGGGGCCTCTTGGGTCCTTCTTGGGGGCATCGGGGGTTGTCTGGGAAGGATATCGCGGGCCTATCGGGCCCTTTTTGGACGCTCTTGAAATGGAAAAAAACTATATTTATACAACCATGCAACCACTTGCGGTGTCTCTGTGATGTTGTTTTCTTGGGCTAACGCAGGCGCCTCCAAGACGGCCCAGTTGCGTCAAAACGTGAGGCCCAAGCTGGGCCAAGCTATTGGACTGCGTGTTCGGCGCCTCCAAGAAGGTCGCCAGCATCGCCCCAAGGCGGCCGTCCCAGAGAGTCAGGGCGCGTTGGAGGCTGAGGCCCACGGCCACGCTCTCCAAAGGCCTGTGCCGAAGGCGCGCGGGGACTCCCGGGGCGCGGAGAAGCGCCCAGTGAGCGCCCGGGAAGCGCCGGAGGACGGGGGCCTTCAGGGGCAACGGTGGGGGGGGATGGGCTTAAGTCGGGCCTGTCCCTCTACAGGGGGAGTATTCAAAAATAGTCAAAGAATAGTCTGGAACGATTTGTCGAGCACTTATTTATTACCATTTTGGTGTACTTTGGTGTATTTTTCATTTTTCGTCCAAATTCCTTCTGTGGAGGACAGGCCCGACTTAAGGATGGGCATGGGGGGGACGCGTCAGCCCCCAATCGTCCACTCTTCGCCGATGGGGGCCCGATAGCCCCCCCACGCCCCAGGAGCGTGGATACTTGCTATCGGGGGCCAGTCGCCGATCCATCGGCGATGTCTCGCCGATTCCGGGTCGGCGTTTCCCTCCTATGCCAGTCCCCCCCCCCCCTGTCGATGCCCCTCAGGCCTTCGCTCCTTGGAGAGCATTTGCAATATGGCGTTGTTCATTTTGTACGTGTTCCACGGGTTATGGAACGAGGCCAACACGAGGTCACACCAGCCCCGTTGGGCTCCCGAGGGCTCCCCCGCAGGGCTCCGAGAGGGGTGGCACAACATTCCTGCGAACACGGGTGTGTGATTGCCGCAAGCTGGCGCTGCTATAACTCGGAAACTGGAACATATAACTACATTACCAGTGGCGGGCTGGTTTTCAATCCCAGGATTTCTTGGGGGTCGAGGACGACGCTGGGGTGGTGTGGTGTATATTTTTTCCCCGATGTCCCGGGGAAACAACGAACAATGTATACACCAGGCTCCCGTATACACCAGTATCCGCTCTCCAGTGCGAATTCGAATGCAGGGCCGTAAGAAGCGTCGGTGTATAGAGTTCGATTCCATAATAACATGCACGCGGCCATGTTCAAAACAAAGATACTGAGTCGAAGGGACGGCACGGCGGATACGGCCCCAGGGTCGTAAGTTCGCCATTCTCTTGACGATTTCGGGCATTTGCGACCAACTCACGCCCAGCACGTCGTTCGCCCATTCCCCAATCAGCGCTTGCACTGAAGGGGTCCTCGCGGATACTGAGAAATTTGGCGAAAGTCCCAGGCCGATTTGGGTAGTCGGCTAGGTTCGGGTTTCCCGGTGCTCTCGGTTCCGGGTTCTGCGCCGATTTCGGTGGGCGGTTGTCTTCGGTTCCCAGTTTTTGGTTCCAGGGTTCTCGGCAGCGTAAGGATGGTTGGGTTCCCGGGTTCCCGGCTTCGGGATTCCCGACAGTGCAAAGTTGGGTGGGTTCACGGGTTCCAGCTTCGGTGGATTGTTGGGTTCTCGGGTACGGTTCTTGGTTCCCGATTCCGGGGTCGGCTTATTGGTTCCCGTTTTTGGATCCCTGGCATTGTAAGGTTCTGGGATTATGAATGCTTCGGTTGTGGTGAAGGAGTCTTTGACCGTAAAGAGTACAGGGGTCATAGACTTGTTAGTATAAAGATTGTATCGTACATTTAGAGACTACCTATCAGAGAGCACAGGGCGAAGTTGGGTGCATATAGGAAAGAAAGAGAACGAGAGAGAGAGAGAGAGACAAACAACAACAAAAATATAAGCACTCGATTTTAGGGCTTAGGAAGAGAGGGAGAGGAAGGGAGAAGAGAGAGAGAGAGGGAGAGGAAGGGAGAAGAGAGAGAGAGAGGCAAACACACACACACAGCACACTTCACGCAGATACGCAACACTAGCTGAGAAGGGGCCTGGGACATTTGTGCAAGATGGTAAACAAAAAGTCGGCGCGGAAGGGGCGCTCTGGCTGGTGGGTGGAGGGATGCGGGGGGACGCGCTGGATGGGAAGGGGGCGGTGCCGTGCCGAAGTAAAGTGGTCGGGGCGGAGGGGGCGCGCTGGCTGGTGCATGGGGCGCTCGGGATGGAGGGGGCGGTGCCGTGCCGCGCTGAAATACCAGGTTCGGGGCAGGTGGCGCGCTGGCTGGTGGGCGGGGGGGATGCGGAAGGGGCGCGCGGGATGGGGGGGGGCGGTGCCGTGCCGAAATACAGGGGTCGGGGCTGAGGGGGCGCGCTGGTCGGTGGATGGGGCGGTGGAGGTGGCGCTCGGGATGGGGGGGGCATATCGAGCAAGCCGGAACTCATATGAAAGGTAGATACACGAGAGAACAGAAAGAGAGATTTAGAGAGAAATAGGAGGATACGGTGGGGGCGTTGACTAAGGAGTGTGCCCAGGAGCCTGCAGACCCGCGAGGATGCTTTATTTGATGAGGACGGCGGTGGTGTCCATGGCCAAGCCTCGAGTGGAGTTCCTCCGGCCTCCAGACCCTGGATTCCTTATCTAAGGGTTCCTTATCCAGGGCCCCCAGGCAGGCGACGTGTACAGAAAGCCAACGCATGGCGATTCAATCCCGAACGCGGACAACATCGATCCCGCAATGGCAGCAGCATATTTGAGTGCTGCATTCTGCAGGAGAAGAAGCAGCAGTACAAGGTGTATCGTGAGGATATCTCGGAAGATGCGTGCCCCTTCAACCACAGGACGTTGCAAAGGGTCCGGGCTTGCGATGATGATTTCTTGCTTATTTTGCATCGTACATCATCCCATCTCTCATCCTGGCTGAGCGAAGCAGGGCGGACAACGAAGAAGCGTGGTACAAGAGGCGAAGGATGGAGAGGATGGGAAGGGTTGAAATGAGAGCCGAAAGAAGAAGAGGCAGAAGGAGGAAACGGAACGAAGAGATAAGAGGGACAACGTGACAGGTTCAAGCTTTGTTGGCTCAAGTAATGACAGGCTCGCGAGGTATTCGAAGCACAGTTTGGCAGATGTAGGCAGGCAGTGTTGGCAAGATGGAGGACGGTGAACGCAAGTGTCATAGATCACAGAGTCGTGGGAAGAATCAAATAATGAGGCACGTCTCAAGGTCGAAGACTTATGCCTGAAAACCTCGGACAAGGTTGTGCCCAGGCATGCCGCAGAACTTGAGATTTTTGCCGACGACGTCGATAAGACCATCATCGCACATATCGGTTGCGAGAGCGAGCATTCCGCTGAACGCCCGGAAAACCCCGACACGAAGATTGTTGCCCTGGCCTGCTCGAGGCACCATCGAACAACTCCACCAGCAGGCTTGCGCTGGCTCAGCTCGCTGCCGAAAGGCTTGTGGACAAGTCCGATGACACGACGACGAAGACAGAGAAGGGCCAGCAATCAAGGGAGGAACAACTACCCGGACCCGATAATTGGCGCTTACTAAACGGCCTTTGGCGTTTTTTCAACAGCCTTGCCCTGTTCGATTCCTTCCTTGAGTGCGGTTATTAAACGGCCTCGCTTGTCGGGGTGGTTATTCTGGGGCCCTCTAAGCAAGCAGCACGCGAAAGTTCCCGGGTCGGCAGTTGCATGGCGTCTCCCGGAAGTTCGGGGTCCCGAAGCAGTGCGTCAGACCGTGCGGTGATCTCAACATCCTAGAAAACCTCACCACACTGTCACCGCACGGTTGGGGGACCTTGGAGGCCTCCCTTCGCCCGAGATGTACGACCCGAGTCCCAAATTCTTGCGGCCACCCCAGATCCCCACTGTTTCACCTCACAGTGTAGTCTCCGCGCCGTTTGGGGGGCCCCCAGTGGAGGAGTTCAGGGTGAGCGCAGCCTCTCCGCTGCGGCAATCTGGTGGTTGGACGCGCCGCGGGAAGCCCGGGTCACGCTAACGTAAGTATGTTCAGCCTACCTAGTCTGACTTGCCTCAGGATGATGCTTCGTATTGCAGCCAGTCGCAGCTATTCCTCCATCTGCTCCTCCGCTTCTTTTGTCCGTCCTTCCCCACCCGCCCTACCCCATCCCCTTTTCCCTTTTTCCTCTTTCTTCTCCTGCCTTTTTTGTCCTCCCCTCCTTCCCCCCCCTTCCTCCTCCTCCTCCTCCTCCTCCACTTCCGTTACCTCGCCCCTTCCTCCTCTGACTCTCTTCTTCCTCCTCCTCCTCCTCCTCCTCCTCCTCCTCCTCCTCCTCCTCCTGTGCATCCTCCTCCTCTTCCTCCTCCTCCTTCCCTCCTGCCCCTTTAGCTGCCGCCCCGGCTCGAGGCTTTGGGTGCAGGTGTCAGACACCTGCGAGCCTCGACCGCCGCCGGGCAGCTGCCATACGCGCTGGCCGCCGCGCACGCCTGGCGCGCAGCGGGCCGGCCGTGCCCCGCCCACGCTGCGGGCCGCCACGCCTCTCGGGAGGCGCCGAGCGCGCGCCAACCCAGCCTGGCACCGTCGTGCCCGCTGGCTGCGCGGCCAGGCTCGCGTGCTGGTGCGACTGGCAGACGCGAGGGCTCGTCTCGGGGTTGCTGGACGCGACCCAAGGCCGCTGGCCGACGCCAGCCCACGCCTCCGTGAGCATCACAGCGCCGCCTCGCCCGACGCAAGCATGTACGGCAAGGGCGGCGCTGGGGGAGGCAAGGGCGCTGGGCCCTCAGGAGGGGGACGCACTGGCGCTGGCGGCAAGGGGCGCCCCGCGGCTACGAGCGGCCCGAGCCATGCGACGCCGCCGTGGCATGTCCCGCCGCCGCCGCCTGGCTGGTGGTGCTCGTCGTGCGGCGGGCTCAACGGCCCCGCCGACGCCCTGTGCCGCACTTGCTTCCCCCTCCCCGAGCACGGGCCAGTGCACGGAGATGGAGGAGGAGCAGCTCGACCGCGCGCGGGCCCGCGCGGCGACGGCCGCCAGCCTCGATCTGCCTCGAGGCGTAGGCGCCGCGGCGGCAAGGGCGAAGCACGACAGCCAGAGGCCGAGCCGCGGCCGCGGTCAGCCTCGCGAGTCCGCTTCGAGGACGAGGGCACGGAGGACGACGGAGGCGATCCGCGGCCGCGGTCGGCCTCGAGCCGCCGCCGGCGCTCCGCCGACGGCGATGGCCGACGGAGGCGGCCCGCGGGAGGCGAGTCCGACGCATCGGATGGCGAGGAAGACGGCCGCAGTCCCGCGTTCGGCATCCTGCCCGCGCTGCCGTTGGACGCGCGGGCTCACCCAGCCTGGGTCGAGCCGCCGTCGGACGAGCGCGGGCTCGCGGCCCACAGGCGCTCACTGCGCCAGATGGCCGCCGCCACGGGCAAGAGGCTGCAGGCGGCCATGGAGCTCGGCATGAGTGCTGAGCAGAGGCGGCCGCAGGAGGAGGAGTACGCGGTGCAGCTCAGCATGATTATCCTTGCCCGCCCCGCTGGCGTCCGCTGCGACCGCCAGCGCAGCTTCGCGCAGCGGGCTCAGGCCAAGCTGGAGAAGGCCGAGGCCGCAGCTGCGCGGGCGCGAGAGGAGCTCGCGGAGCAGGAGGCGAAGGTGGTGCAGCGCGCCGAGGCCCTCGGTCGGGCCAAGACGCTGCTGGAACAGCTCGAGGCCATGGTCCCCGCGGGCGACGAGCCGATGGAGGAGCCCATCGCGCCGACGCCCGTGGCGGGCGCCGAGGGCGACGCAGCCCCAGGCACGCCGCCCGACCGCGCGCCGCCCATCGCGGCCATCGCAGAGCTGCAGGCTGGCCAGGCGGCCCTCACCCAGCAGCTCGTCGGCCTCACGCAGCTGCTGACGACGATGCAGGGCCAGATGGCGGCGGCCCGCGGTGGGGCGGCGCCTGGCGAGACCACTACGCCCGCGCCCGACGTGCGGCCCTTTGCAGGGCCCCCCCAGCGCTTGGGGCCAGCTGCCCCCGCGCCCAGGCCCGAGGCCCCTGCCGCGGCCTACCCCGTGCCGGCCGACGCACCTGTGGCCCGCGCCCCCCAGGAGGGGCCCCCGCCTGCTGGCGCCGCCGTGAGTGCGGCATGGGGCGCTGCTGGACCCGCCGCTGCCGAGGCCGTCGAGGTGCCAGTCAGCGCCGAGGAGGATGTTGCTGCTGCCGCCACGGCCGAGGCAGCCCGCAAGGCGAGGGCAGCTCAGCGTGCTGAAAGGAAGGCTGCAGAACGTGCACGTCGCCCTGATGGCCAGCAGGGACTGCGAGCCGCTTTGGCTCGCCAGGCGTCAGCGCGGCCAGGCGCGAGCAGCCACCGTGGCCGAGGCGCCCTGCCGCCGTCGCCGCGCGGCCGTGCCGCCGTCGCCGCAGAGGCCGGAGAGGACGCCGCCGCAGGGGCGGCCAGCCGCCGCCAGCGCCGCAGCCGCAGCCACAGCCCACGGCGGGAAGCGCCCGACGGCTTCATGCTGTGCGGCGGCCGCGCCGGCTCCACCGAGGACAGCGAGGGAGCTACGTCGACGCTGGGGTGATGTGTCACGGCGGGCGGGCCTCGGGGAGCGAGAGGGCTGCCACTGAGCCGTCTCAAGGCCCGCCTGCGACTGGCGCGCCGCCAGTCATGCCGACTGCCACGAGCGGCAGCCTTGTCGGCCGAACCGAGGGTCGATCCGTGAGGGGAGGGGGCCATAGTGGGCGCTCCGAAAGGAACTCGCGAAGCCCCCGCCCCACAGCGGCGCTCGCCGAGGTAAGGTCGACGAGTGCAGCTGCTCCCTCGCCTCGGATGGAGTCCGAGGCCCAGCAGCAGCCACGCTGCCCAATACCAGATTGCACCGATCTAGTCAGGCTACTGTGTCAGCCCTGGCTATCTTGCTCTCTCACTCCCGTCTTTCTTGGGCCAACTCAACTGCCCGAACATTGCCTCTTTCATCCTTACCTTCATAGTAGTACCTGCCATTTTTTTGAGACCCACGGAGCTTCTCCCCCCCCGACAGTGAGCAGGTTGTCAGGATGGAGGTGCATACGGACGGGTCTGGTGGGACCAAACAACAGCACTTGGGTGGACCACCGTCTTGGGCATGGTGCATATTTTCGGTTACGACGACTGGCAGGTACATCTGTGAAGGGTACTTGTGTGGTGTCGATCCTGATCTCTCCACCTCTGTTGCGAGCCCGTCTGGAGCTTCAGAATTTCAAGCCGCACTGTGGCTGGTGCTATGGTTATTGCAAGCTCCTCCTCGTTTTCGGGCCCAACCCGCGGTGGTATACGCAGATAACATGCTGGTGGTTTCCGCGGCCGACGGGGGAACGAGATATGCGTCGTGCGGTGATTTCCCATGGCTCTTTGATGGGGCCCTCGAGCTATTACGTCAGTTTACGAAGCTGAGCTGGAATCACGTCCACGGCCACAATGCCGATCCGCTGAATGAGCTTGAAGATGCCATAGCACGACTGGCTTCCATGGGAATTGCGCCGACAGTAGAGCCTGACTTTCAACCGTGGTCAGTTTTGCTTGCGTCAGCCTCTCTTGTACCATGGATGTGGACGTCTGCCAATTCCAACTTCGGTCATGGGGAGTATCCGAAAGTTGGCGCATGCGAAATGCCCTCCATCAACCCTCCCGAGCTAGATCTCAGAACTGCCTTCCTGCCATCTGCTGGCCGCGGCTCGGAAAACTCGTCTGTGCCACGAGTATCTCCGACATCGGGTTTGCAGCCTCAGGTGAGTTTTGCAGTGGCGAACGTACTCACACTGCGGCCCCGCAGGAAGGCTGCCCGACGAGGGAGAGGTACTCGAATACGGCGTCGGTACCAAGACGCGGCCGGCCTGGGTTTGCCCGGACGCATGCTCGCACTGGCTCATCAGTTTTCCGC